TTATCAATTTTGAATATTTGAGTGCTATGAGATTGTTCAATGCTGATATATTTGCAACTTGTATTCAGGATTACTTCGGGTTTATGAGTTTTCGACCTTATCAGCAAGAGGTTATTGAGAAAATTATTGAGAAAAGGGATTGCTTGGTAGTTATGGCTACTGGTAGTGGCAAGTCATTGTGGTAAGCGAAATGTGTTTTCTTTTTGTTGTTGAAGCTAATTGCTTAAATTGGAGTGTTGAAACTTTTCTTTTTGAGCAGTTATCAAGTGCCTCCGTTGGTTGTGAAAAAGACTGGGATAGTTGTAAGCCCTTTAATATCATTGATGCAAGATCAGGTGAGTTGATTCGTTCTTCTGGATGGATCTTTTTGTTTTGCATTTCTATGGTTTGAGTGGCTATATTTAGCTTTGAATTCTATTAGTGTGACTGTCTAATATGGTCAAAATGGGAAAAACAGGTTATGGCTTTGAAACAGCGAGGTATCAAAGCTGAATATCTTTCGAGTGCTCAGAAGGATTATACTATTCAGGGTAAAGCTGAGCGTGGTCAATTTGACATTCTGTTTATGACTCCTGAGAAGGCATGCACAATTCCTACCAGGTATAGTATGGAAAAAACCCTTCATTTGTGTAGTTTATAACCTTATTTTGAATGGATAATTATAATAAAGTAGCCTATCGGTTGAGCAAAGTGTTAGGAATAACTCTAGAAAACGGTAAAGTTGCTGCAAAATTCTAACCAGACAACAGTAAAATTCCTTCTTTCATCGAGAAATGCTCTTTTGGCTAAGAAACGAGGGACCATAGTGCTTTGAGTTTAACAGTTGCTGGAGCTGAAGTTTTTTGACCCGGAGGTTATTGTGCTTGAGTTTCCTTTCTTGTTTTCCTGTTTTGTTCATCTCTTTTGACACATGCACATGGACGTGCATATTTTACAATGACTCAATGATGACATTTTAGTTGATTCATGAGTCGAAATGCTTCTGGTGTGGTGGTCTTTACTCGTAGTTTAGATGATAATGCTCAAGTATGTCAATGATTAACTATAATTGCTAGTTTGGTGTATCTTTTCAGGATTCACTCATTGATCTTAGTCCACACTGAGCCTTGTTTAATTATGATCCGTTGTTAAGCTTATGTCATTTATTTATGCAGTTTCTGGTCCAACTTGCTAAAGGAAGGAATTAGTCTTTTTGCTGTTGATGAAGCACATTGCATATCAGAATGGGGGCATGACTTTAGGGTAGAATACAAGCAGTTAGACAAGTTACGTGGTGTTCTGTTAGATGTTCCTTATGTTGGTTTAACTGCAACGGCTACTGAAAAGTAAGTATATTTGTTTTGGCTGTTAGCAAATCATATCGTTGCTGTTTTACTATGACAATTTTATCCAGATTTTCTGCCTCCTTTCTCTTGTATATATTTTACTTTCCAACTGATTTTTATTGAATCTAACACTGATATCATAACATGATGGACACTGTAGGGAAATTAAGATGGATTTTGCTATGCTTCAACTGAGATCATGCTATGTGTAGATTATTAGGGCAGAAAATTATTTTGATAATCAAACTACTATTGAAGAAGTTAAGATTGAATTAGCTAAGTTAAGCATGTAGGGTTCTTCTAACCATTGGCTTAATTTATTGAGGGAAACTCTCCTCTCTGACGCCTTTTCATTTTTGGTTAACTCTTTTTAGCTGATAGGATTAGGAAGCTCAAGATCTAGTTGTAAGAAATTTTTCACCTAAATCTTTATCGATAAAACAATTAGCTTACGTGAAAAGAATTAGCGTTGCTATAAAAAAGAATTAGATATATTGATATTTCTACATTCAAAATTTAGTCAATGAACTTACGTGATGTTTTTTCTTTACCTGTATTTAGTGAACTAGTGTATTTAGTGAACTAGTGTAATGGGATAAATAAACTTTTCACTTGTGTTCATTTATGTGCCATATTACCAGGGTTCGGTTTGACATCACCAATTCCTTGAAGATGAATAATCCTTACATTGTTGTTGGTTCATTTGATCGCCCAAATCTTTTCTATGGTGTCAAGCAATTTAACCGAGGACAATATTTTATTGACGAGCTTGTTGAAGAAATTTCAAAAGTTGCTAATGGTTCAACTATTATTTACTGCACAACAATCAAAGATGTAGAACAGGTAATATGCTAGAAATGTTAGAGGTGAAACCAAAAATAGTGTTACCATGCTATCATATCACTGTTCACGTCACTTGAACCCTAAAATAAGAATTGTTTTTCGTGCTCTTGTATTGAAAATAATACTATTCGACTTTCAATTTCAATAGAAAAAATCATATATTATTGCCGATTGCGTATGATATCTTGAGATCCCTTGCACATTAATGAACTATGATGTAGCTCAAGATTTTTTTTGTTTTTAGGCACAATAGTTTAAAGCAGTGTTGCATGGTATAATATGGGATATATTGTTCATCATTTCACTCATTTTGTAAACTTCTTTCTAGCATTTGTAAAAAAGTTATTGTGGAATAGAATCGCCAAGCGAGTGTTATTTGTTCCGGGCCTTACACAATATGTCAGTATACACCTTGTTTTGTTCAATTGCTCTTTTGTCTATATATTATGGGTTTCTGGCCATCACTAAATGGATTTTCCATTGTCTAAATTCTGTTGCGAATGAACTGCAGCTTTTACTTTTGTATTGATTTGATATTTGATATTTTTTTATATAGATATATAAGTCAGTAATGAACGTCGGTATAAATGCTGGAATGTACCATGGCCAAATGGATGGAAAATCACGAGAGGAGTCTCACAGGCAAGTATTTTGTCATATATTTTAAGAATATAAATCGGGTTCCTGCTTTTGATCATTGTGGTCTGGAGGCTTGATGCGTTTTTATCATAACTGAGTGTTAATTTTTTCAGATTATTTGTTAGAGATGAAAAGCAAGTCATGGTGGCTACAATTGCCTTTGGCATGGGCATAGATAAACCTAATATAAGAAAAGTGATTCATTATGGCTGCCCTAAAAATCTAGAGTCCTACTACCAGGAAAGTGGGAGATGTGGTAGAGATGGTATAGCTTCTGCTTGTTGGCTTTACTACACAAGAAGTGACTTTTCAAAGGGTGATTATTATGCTGCAGATTTAAAATCGGTGGGTGTGTATATGTGTGTGTGAGCTTTGAACTTGCTGACTACGTGCATATTTTCTGTGTATGAGTTGTCCCTATTCTCTTCGTAATGTTTTTGGGTCTCCAATGTACCAGGAAAACCAAAAAAAAGCTGTTACGGAGTCATTGCTTGAAGCTCAACGCTATTGTTTGACGGCAACTTGCAGAAGAAAGTTCTTGCTAGAACACTTTGGAGAAAAATTTGCAGCTGATCGATGTGGTTTGCCTTTCACTTAGCTCCTTCAATACAATTCTACAATTGTAAAATATGAACTCAAGTTGAAGTACTCAATTCTACAATTGACCTTATAGAAATAGGGAATAGTGTGTTTAATTCTAACAATCTCTCAAGTTGAAGTACACGTATTTCATGCACCAAAGTTGTTACTATTAAAGTCAACTTGAAACCCCCTGATAAAGATATTAGCTAGTTATTGGAGTTTTCAAAATCCAGTAGTAATCTCACCTGGGAAAAACTCTTTGCTTTTTCAGTTTACTCTGTTTTATTTTCTTTTATATCTTGCCTGTAGGAAACTGTGATAACTGCACGGTCTTGAGGCAACATCGTGACATGTCAAAAGAAGCCTTTCTTCTACTGGCTTGCATTCATTCATGCAAGGGAAGATGGGGCCTTAATATGCCGATTGACATCCTGCGTGGTTCTCGAGTAAGTTGTTCAAAATTAAAAGTAGGAAGTGTTTCAGTATCATTTTAAAGTAATTTATCCATTTTTTTTTGTGGCATTAGTTTCTTGCTCTTTTCATTATGCACTATCATTTTTGTCTTTTAGCATATTATCATTGTGAAAACGTTAGAATATAATGAAGATTGCAATTATCCACTGCACAAAAAAGGTCTCTTTAAATCACAGGATAATTGGTGTAAAAAAAATTATAGTAGTCCTATTTAAACAAAGATTACAATCATTCCACTCCACACAAAGGCTCTCTTAGCTCAAGATCACATGATATACAAGGACCAATAAACTATAAATCCCTCTTCCTGTTATTCTTAGTGACGGTTGAAGCCAAAGTTATTGATTTCCATGCGCCATTGTAGATGAGATGATCATATTCAAATCCTTAAGTATCGAAACAAATAGACTTTTTTATCTAGTTGATGTACTTTAAAAGCATTGTCAAATATGGCATTGTATGTTATCACAGCTGTATTTAACCTTCTAGTTAATGTACTTTACAAGTGTACGTATCACTAGGATTTTTATTTAGGTTTCCATTCAACCATGATTTTTTCCTTTAAATTTCCTCATTACCTTCCAACGGCTGATAGTTGTATTTACTCATGGCTTGTAGGCAAAGAAAATAATGGAAGCTCAATATGACAAGCTTCCACTTCATGGACTTGGGAAAGCATACCAAGCAAATTGGTGGAAAGCACTTGGACATCAATTGATTTCTCTAGGTATTTTGAGTGGAAATAATTTACTCAGTTGCAGTCATAGCTTATGTTGAAACAGTTTCGTCAATTTACGATCTTGCTATGCTTCAGGGTAGTTGAATTCTGTGGAGCAATTGCATTTACTACTGCTTCATCTAAATTACCTCTATTTTTGCTTTGCAATTTGAACTATTGAGTGGAAGGAGTTTGTGAGATCAAAATGTACTTGACTTGACTAATGTTCTACAGGTTATTTGAAGGAGTTTGTGACTGATGTGTACAGAAATGTAAGGTACGCTAGTTATTGGGTAGATCACAACAATTATTTGAAGTCTTTGTACTTCATTGTTATTATTAGTTTTCCAGTGTCAACCCATCTAATATATTCCTTTAGTTTTTTTTTTTGTATATGTAGTGTTTCATAACCGAAACTACAATCAAACATAAACCTTGTTCTTTTATGAACCAGTGTCAGTTCAAAAGGAGAGCAATTTTTGGCCTCATGTAGACCAGACTATCAACCTCCTTTGGTTTTGCCATTAGTTGGTGAGCTCGCAGAAGAGGAAACTAGAAGCGCAGAAGAATTCAAAATTTTGGCCGCTTCAGAATCTGAAGGTTTTTCAGAGGTTGTAATGAAGTCGTGTTATGATTTTTCAACTTCTTTTCTCCTCAATGAAGCTCGAGAGAGCATAGTATGGACTACATGAGTTTTCATTTACCATGGATCAATTTCTAATACACAATAACCATTGATGTTGTGAAATAATCACTTATTATTATTATTATTATTATTATTATTATTTAATTTTAATTTTATTATATATCAATGGTTAATAGAAGCGGCTCCATCGTGGGCCGAAACTCATGCAATCCATGCTATGCACGTCCATGAAGTTTCTTGAATAAGTGAACACCATGTCAACTGTAATTCTGTGTTGTACTTCTCTACTCAGGCTGAAGGACAGCTCTACCAAATGCTTTTAGAAGAAAGATTAAATCTTGCAAGGAGTGTTGGAACAGCTCCGTGAGTTTTATTTTATCTTTTAGCACTTTCAGGAAAGCCAGTCCTACTACAGTTTCTTTGTTCTGTAGTTTCTTCATGAAGCTGTTATACTTCTGTAGATATGCTTTATGCGGTGATCAAACAATCAGAAAAATTGCTTTGACAAGACCATCTACAAAAGCAAGGCTAGCAAATATTGATGGTGTGAATCAGGTACGTTGAAGCTATAGGGTTTTCAATAAAAAGGGAAAATACAGAATAAAGACTGGAATTATGATTATAGTTGGTAAATACTCGTATTGTGGAACTGCTCCATAAGTCACCCCCTTGAATGCTCCTGTGAATCAAACTTCTCTTGTGCTAAATACTCGAGTTCTTATCAGTAATTATAGTTTGAGATACCTAGGAAAATTACTGTACTCCAAAGATCCATTTCAATACTACAATGTAGTAATCTAGATTTCACAGCAGAGAAGTTGTTATGGTATTGTGCAGTATGAACATGAGTTAGATCTCTGAATAAGCAATCTCTTGATCATGTTTTTCATTCTAATGATCGTTAATTACATCTAGGAGCAGGCTGCACTGTCAAATTCTTTTGGTCTGTAAACCCGTCTTGATATAACTGCAGCAAAAAAAGTATCTCATCAATTCTAACATTTGAAATACTAAACTTTGAACAATTTGTACAGCACCTAGTAACAAGATATGGAGACCATTTTCTTCAAGCTATTCGGAAACTATCCCAAGAATTAAAACTATCATTGGATGGTGAACCGGTACTCCAAACTAGTGAAGTACGGAAAGTATCTCCACTAGTAACAATCAAATCAACGAAGTTGTCAGGAGCAAAGCTTGAAGCATGGAAAATGTGGCATGAAGAAGGTCTTTCTATTCAGAGGATTGCCGTATGTCTTACTAATCTGTTGTTACTATTAAAGATCTATGCTTCACATTTTTTATGTATAACTTGTTCTTTTCCCCTCCCATGTATTTGTAATCTCAGAACTTTCCAGCTAGAGCAGCTCCTATTCAAGAACAAACTGTTGTACAGTATCTGCTGGACGCTGCCCTAGATGGATTACCTATTGATTGGACAAGACTCTGTGAGTCGATAGGGCTGAAACAAGATTACACATCTGCAATTCGGGGAGCTATTGTAAAAGCTGGATCTGCTGATAAGTTGAAGCCTATAAAAAATGAATTGCCAGAAGAAGTGAGTTAAAGTCTATGGCTTCATGATTTCATTACACATCTCTTGATCATTGATGTTCAAAAATGGTCAATGCATTTCACTCTAAACGACAATTTTCTGATTTTGGATTTATTATTTGCTGTGGTTGAGATTGAATAAATTTTCATAGTGCAGATAACGTATCCGCACATCAAGGTTTACTTAACAATGCAAACCTGTGGAGTATCCTTAGAAAGTATCCATTCTGGGAAAGATGGTGAAGCTGTAAACAATGCATCAAATTCTTCGGAACCATCTTCAGTAACACACGATGAAGAAAGTCATCTTCAAGCTAACGTTGCTACCGAAAGTATAATGGAAATTAATGAAGTGGTACCTTCTGGACCAGTCGATGTTTGTCCGGTACAAGAGTTTCCAACAAGCAAACGACTGAAAGTCAGCGAAACAAAGGAGGTGAATATAATTAAATTGAAAGCTACAGAGGGTTCTGTTGTAGAGTGGCTGAAGAACCTTGATGAAGGGGTAAGTGAGAACCTGTTTATATTTCAGGTTAAAAGCTTTATGATATCTGTTTATATACTTTGTTTTTGTGGTAATGAATGTGTGATTTATTGGTTTCAGGCTACTTTGACTGATATGTTGGAGCGCTTCAATGGATCCAATGAAGATTCCATTGTTGAACTGCTAAGTTCCCTTGAGTGTGACTTTTTGATATATAAGAAAAGTAACGTGTACAGGGCTATGTAAAGAATTTGATGCATAGGGTTTATAGTAACCATGCTAGTAGAAAGTGGTGTTTTCAATGGTTCCTTGCATTGTTTACTAAAATGTTTGCATAACCAAAGTCTAGAAGCAAGTCTGTTCCTTTTTTTGTATGTTGCTTATTCAGTGCCCTGAGCAATATTATACAAACCAAAATTTACGGTTCAACAGCTTGGTTATCTTGATTTGACCGAGGTTTCATCCTGGTTAATCTTAAAAATGCCTAATACTTTGATTTTTGTAAAAGCTGTTATTGCCTAGTTAACACTATGATGATCTCAATGATTCTTGGTTTTCTGTTTTATGATTTTAATACAAATTCATTTAAATTGAGTTTTAACTCTATATTTAAGTTATAAGTTGAAACTTAGTATTCTTTTTCGGAATTAAACCACCATCCAAGTTTGGCCTGTTTCATTATGGATTCACAATAGATAAACTTTATAATTTATTTAATATTTTAATAATGGTTGAAAGTTGTGAAAACATAAATAAGTGTTGTGATTGTTTTGGTAATCGGTTACCGGTATAGTAGCTATAGCTGTTTAAACATATGTAATCGGTTATTGTGTTTTGGTAATTGGTTATCACTATTTTTCTATTATTACAAGTTGTGTGTTTCAATTTATTGAATTTGTATATATATTTTTGAGGTATCATTAATGCAAAAATTGAATGCATATTTTCACTTTCAATTGTACTCTCTAATTCTCTCTCACTCTATTCCTCTCCACATTTAATTATTCCACTTTCATCAGCGTTGTGGTTTCAAGTTCTAATATTTGATATTAAGAGTTTGGTTTGATCCACCAAACATCTAGTGTGAAACATGAATTCTGTCTCTAATGAAAGAATTCTTACAAACTTACCCATTCTTAATGTGAAGAATTACGACAAATGGTTAGCAAATAAATGTGTTGTTTGGCTACAAAGATGTTTTTGAAGTGATCAAGAACGATGTGAATCCTCTTGTTGAAGGTGCAACGGATGCATAACGAGCATTACATAAGGAAAAAAAATAAGAAAGGTTTAAGTGTGTGAAATCTTGGAGAAGACATACACAAGGGCTGCCAAAGCGAAGGTTCTGAGGTTACAAACGTCAACTTGAGTTGATTCAAATGGAGAAGGAGACCATCAACGATTTCACGATGAGGATTAACTCAGTTGGTGAACAAGGTAAAATCATGTGCAAAAACGATCACGAAGCACTATGTTGTCGCGACAATCTTGCGTTTTTTGATGGCAAGATTTGATAACATAGTCGTAGTGATTGAGGAACCGAACGATCTTGTGACGATGAGCCCAAAGGAGTTACAAAGCTCTCTTGAGGCACATGAGCAAAGGATGGAGGAGAGAAATAGTGATAAGGTAAAATCGGAGATCACTTCGCAAGCTCGTTTCAATGAGAAAGACAAGAAATCGAAGAGAAAATGATCCATGAAGAGAACAAAGAATTTTCAATTTTTTTGTAGAAGAGAGTCCCAAAGTTCTAAGAATTCGACTTATCAAAAGGGTGAGAGCAACTACAACAAGAATGGTGGTAAAGGTAACCTTAGAGGTGAAATGAGAAGGATTGAAATTAGCAAGATGCGATGCTTTGGTTGTAAAAAGTTCGGTCATTTTGCAAGAGAGTGCAATGCGAACAAGAAGGAACCTCAAGTTCATGAAGCTAAGGTTGCAAGACAAGAGTTTGATGATGAGAACATACTCTTGGTCATGATCACAAAAGGGGAATGCAACAGCAGTAGGTTGCGAGACAACAACAGTTTTGGAAACGCTGCAAAACCATGTTGTAACCGGTTACATGTAGAAAAAACGCAATTGTGAATTTGAAAGAAGAAGTGCACTATATTTGGATTCATAATGTTCAACGTATATGATTGGGAGGAAATATTTGTTTGTCACAATCAATTGCGCCATGAAGAACAAAGTGAATTTTGCAGATGATACCACTCTAGCGGCGAAATGGATCAGTGATGTATTGATAAAGAGAAGAGATGGTAGATATTCTTTGATAAAGGATGTCATGTATATTTTCATAATCAAATATAATATTCTAAGTACTGACCAATTACTTGAGAAAGATTACAAAATTCGTATAAAGAATAAGGCACTACACGTTATGGATGCGAACTGGGTTTTGGTCTGAAAGGCTCATATGGCTGTCAATAGAACCTTAAAGGTTGGGTTGAATTTTATGTAGCATATGTGTCTTGCTACAACGATTAGTCGAGAAGAGTGGATATGACACTATCGACTTGGATATTTCAATTTTTGAGATCACAATGCTTTGCAAAAGAACGAAATGGTGATGAGGCTGCCATTGTTCAATATACCAGTTGAAATTTGTGACGAATGTGTACAAGCGAAGCAACATAAAGAAGATTTCAACAAGGATGCGGGTTCTAGAACCAAGCATCACCTTGAGGTGGTGTATTCATATGTGCGTGGATCGATACAAGTTGATTCAATTTGTGACAGTAGATATGTTATCACATTCATCGATGATCGTAGTAAAAATCTATGGACATACCTAATCAAGAGAAACAATGATGTATTCAAAGTGTTTAAGAAGTTCAACTTCATGGCTGAGAAGCAAATATGTCACAAGTTCAAAGTTCTCAACACGGATGATGGAGGCGAATATGTCTCAAATGACTTTGAGAGATTTTGTGATCAAGAGGGCATAGTGCATGAGGTAGTACCACCCTATACATCAGAGCAAAACAGTGTTGCCGAAAGGAACATGTTGAAAGGGAATAACTTACCGAAGGATTTACAGGGAGAAGCTGTGTTCGCAACTACATATTTGTTGAATAGATGGCCAAGAAAGAAGCTTGAGAAGACTACATTAGAAGAAGCTTAACCTGGATTAAAACCAAACATATGTCACTTGATAATGTTTGGCTCGGTGGCGTATCGACATGTGCCAGATCAACTTAGAAAGAAGTTTGATGACAAGGGATAATTAATGATACTTGTATGGTGTCACTCTATCAGATGTTACAAGTTGTATGATGCAGCGAATAGAAGAACCGTGATCAGCCAAGACGTCTTTTTCAACAAAATCAAGTAGCTGTAGCAACTTGTAGTTGAGACCTCGTTTTGAAGAAGTTTGAAATTGAGAATTTTAATGCTACCATTACTTTGCTTAACCGAGACTGCAGTTGTCGAAGAATGAGGACGAGCAAGATGTCAATCCAACTCAATATAGGAGGTTGATTTAATCCTCATGTTACATGTGCAATATGTGACCAAATTTGGCGTTTAATGACATTATTGTGAGTATATTCATGGAGAGATCAAATGTGTATTACTTGGCAGCAGTCAATAGGATTTTAAGATACGTCAAAGGAGCTATTGGCTGCAGAATTATGTTTCCCGCAATGGACAAGAGTAAAAAAAAAATACAATTTGCCCGATTTTGCGATTCCAATTGGCGTAGAGATAAAGACTATAGAAATTCTACAATTTGATACATCTTTATGTTCGATGAAACACCAATCTCATGGTGTTCAAAGAAGGAACTGATAATAACACTCTCTTCTTGTGAGGCCGAGTACATTGTTGTTTCATTGTGTGCGTGCCAAACTGTGTGATTAATGAATCTATTGAAAGAGTTGGGTAGTGAAAAGGGTAACACTGTAACACTCATGATTGATAACTTTTCCGCTATAAACCTTGCTAAGAACTCAATTGCACATGAGAGGAGCAAAAATATTGTAGAAGTAAAGACCCAAGTGGCGAATTTGTTGACCAAATGAATCATAATTGAAGTGCTCAAGAGATTGAAGATGAACATGAGTATGAGAGACTTGGAGCACTTGAATTAAAGTGATATATTATGAAAACATCAATAATTCAAGTGCTACAACTGGTTATTGCGTTTTAGTAATCGGTTACAGGGTGTAGTATTTTTAACTGTTTAAATAGGTGTAACAAGTTACTGCATTTTGATAATCAATTATCACTGAGTTAAGTTTTAATTACTGAAACGACGGCAACTAGTTACAGATTTGGTATAACCGATTATAAACAATTAGTTTTAAATTTTTTGTTATTACAACTTATTGCTTGTATACCAATCTATTGTATTTGTAAATATACCTTTGAGATATCATTAATGCAATGTTGAATGCATATTTTTACTCTCAATTATACTCTCTCCCTCTCTCCCTCTCCACACACAATAAGTCTATTTTCGTCAACCTTGTTGTTTCAAATCTTAACAATATAGTCATAGGTACCAAAACTGGTAGCTAAAATGGTGGCAGCAATAGCCAAAATGATTGGTTAGAATGACATTGAAGGTGTCTAGATAGTATTCCATGGTGATCGGGATTGTGATTAACATAAAAATGGCTTGAACGGTCAAAAATGGCATCATAGTGATGGACAATGTTCGCCAAATGTGAAAAATGGTGATCAAAGGTCAAACATGGCATCACAGTGATGGACAGGGTTGGCCAAATGTGACAAAAATGGTAATCAAAAGTTGTCAAGTGATGGTCCATAGTTGTTACCGACCACTGGTTGATGCCATTACTTTTAAGATAAAAAACAAGAGTTATATAAAATCTATTTTTTTGTGATCTTAGGATTTTAAAAAGAAACTGTTCTTTAATTAAATTAAAAAAAAAAACAATTCATCTCCATACCGAAACTTAGAACCACTTTAACCGCAATAAGTAAATGAAAACATTAACCTCCAAGATATACCCCACAAATTGAAGAAACCAACCAACATGGGAAATTGAAGAATAGACAAAACAACTTTAGTGAATATCTCTTGTCAACAATAAGAAATTGAAGAAAAGTAATGGTTGCATATGATATTAATATATTATGCATGGTCATGAAAATGAAGGAGATATGTGTGTATTAACTAAACTAATAAACCAACTATGGTTAGATTAAAGATTCTCCCACCAAATGTTAAAACAGGGAGGGGGGAACAGGGTTAACTCAAAATGTTAATCTCTATGTAAAGCATCATCAAGATCAACATCAAACCCTGTGCTATTTTTCAAAACAGTACTAGAATGTATATGTGTTTTGCACTTGCACTGAAGCTCCATAAATCTCTCAGCATCAAAATTATGTTTCTTACAAAGCTTCCTCTGCCTTGAAAGAAACAGCCTCTTCATCAAGTCTTGGTAAGTAGGGTCTCTTGAAGTGAATAAAAAGTACGCATAGCCTGTAACCAATCCGGTTGTGGTTGCAAAAAACGCAATAGGTTCCATTACATCCCATGAGAATTCCCAGAATGTTAGCCGGAAGAAGAGCCCGACAGTAAATACGCCAAATCCTAGTCCAGACCAAAGGACGCGTCGCACCTGTTTATGTGCCAACATGTCAATTTCTATTTTCTTGTCTTGCAGTTTCTTTAACTCGTCCCTCATAGGATCGTCGTCAGAAGTTAGTGCCAGTGGAACGGCTTTTCGAATCAGATCCACCACCTAAACAGGCAGAAAATAGCCAAACAGACAGAAACACTGAATTCCCAGAATGTTGTCCAATGCTAATTCAATTATTTCTCAATTCAAAAAGGGTTGTGTAACATAAGGGCCATAAAGGACCCTCTCATTGAAAAGCAAGTAAAATGACATAAACTGTATCTAAGAAGTACTAATTAGTAATAGACAGATTAGATCTTCTCATGAGCCCCACAAACACAAATTGTATTTTTTTTGAAAGCTTGATATGGCCTTGAGACCGATTAATTCAAGGGGACTAATCCCCTGTCCATTAGCCCGAGCAAAACAACTGACACAACACATGAATTGTTAGCTCATAGCGGTATTTGAACCAGAGACTTTGAGAGGAGCACAATCTCATGACTAAATCCTTCACAAATTGTATTCATATATCAACCATAAACAAACAAACAAATAAACAAGGAAAAGATACAATTGAAAGCGTTAAAGTTCACACCTTATCAGGATGCAGATAAACCTTGTCCCTGAAGAGCAAAACAACCCCAGCCTCATCGAGAACCTTAGCAAACATAGAAGCCTCATCACGATTCCTAGCAATACCAAAACTCTCACAAGCTTGAAGAAGTTCACCATACGAAATAACTTCCTTCCCTTCCATACCAAGTTTCATCTTAAGTGATTCCACATTCACCAATCTCATAAGCTTCTTAGCCTCAGAGAATGTTATACTTTCTTCTTTCTTTCCATTACCATCTCCAATCACAGTGGAAGAAGATGAAAAACCCCTCCTCACCTGGTTCACCATATCTGATAAACACTCAACCTCTTTTCCCCAACCACCACCGCATGTCACTGTAACAACACTCCTTAAACCTAACAAATGAGGACCGAATCCAAAAGGATGAAGCTTTTCGCCATAACCATGAGTTAGATTCACAATAGACGACACCCTTTTGCTCAATGACCTAAAACCCCCACTGGAACAACCCCACCTACCCCACATTATTTTCACAGAAAATAAAAATTGAAACTTTATGCAAAATGTTGAACAATACAGAAAATCAAAACCAACCAAGTAGTGTTAATCTAGTAAATCAAAAACCCATGTTCTATGGTCAAGGTAGCAACTTAAAAAGAAAAAAAAAAAAGAATCTTTGTGTAGGGTTTTATAAAAACACGAAAAATATCAAAAGGGAAAGAGAGCATGGGAAAAGGAGGTGAAGCAATAAGAATAGAGATATGGAGGATGTTGACGGAGTTAGAATTCCGTTAAGTTGGTGGATGAGTGAGTGGGTAGAGCGAATGCGAGTGGGATACTAACACTAACTTATTTGGTAGTAATGGAAGTTGACGGCTTTTAATTAACGGCGATAGTACGTGTCAGTTACGTGGGTGGGTCCTACAAATTTAATTTAATTGACCACTCCACGTCGACAACGCTAAAATAAAATACACGGCTTCTTTTTTTGTTTCTTTCTTTTTTTCTTCTAGATAGTCTTATTTTAATTCTTTTTTCTATTTTTCTATTTCTATAAACTGGGGTATTTTTCACCGAACAAACTCTCTTTTCTAATTTATTACTCAAACTAATCCACTTTTAATTTAAATTCTAAAAAAGTTATTGTAAAAAAAGAGGAGCCAAAACAAGTGACATGCCCTTTTAATTTTAATGGAGACGCCACACTATGAGAATATCCTCTTTATTTTATTTTATTTTTAATTTGACTTTATTAATTATTTTTTAAATATTTTAATAATTATTTTTTATAATTATGTTATATTAATATTTTAATTTTTAATAAACTATTAATTAATAATAAGTAAAATAAAATATTAATGGAATATAATTAAAATTGAATTAAAAACATTGAAATAATTTTTTACATTGTGAAACCTTGTATTGCAAATAATACATTTTTAACTAAATTATTGTTTTTTGATGATAACAACTGGAAAGACATTTATAAGATCAATCATAAAGTCAATCATAAAGATAATTAATGATAACTCAAGCATATTGCTTAAGCGATGAAAGATACAAACAAAAGTAATATGGTTTCGATGAACTTGACTATTCAAAGAAGGCAAACAAAGTGCATTATTTAAAGCCTCAAGTGATCTCAAGCAATGTCAACACAAAATATAATATCTGACAAAGGGCTTGTAGAAGGAGTTAATCTCCTAGGTTAGTAAGTGAATGGACATGTGTAAAAGTGAATGACTTTTCTGGAAAAGTATATGATTATAAGCGCACACACACTAAAACATTTTTTTCAAATATCTTAACAAAGAGAAAACATTTTCAAAAGTGTCTTAAAATTGTGTCAGATGACTTAGGAGCAGTATAAATAGCTAGAGAAAAATATTTGACCAATCTAATCAATTAGATCCTTTTGCTAATCAATTAGATCATTTAATCTTAAGCTCAAACTATTTAGACAACGGCTCAATAATGTACAATGGCTAGATACATCTTATTTCCTTTTAGAATGACCACCAACGACTATTTTTCATAATCTAACCAATTAGACTAAAGTGTTAATCGATTAGTCAATCATAAAAATAATTAAATGAGAATTCTGTTTTGAGCACACTTCTTGCCTATAAATAGAGGCTTTGTTTCTCATTTCAAAATATCCCGAAACGTGTTTTGAAACTTCTTACTCCCACATTATCTCTCTCTAAAGTTTTATTTAACTTTCTCTCACTAGATGATAACCAAATTCTTTTATGAGAAAAGTCCTTTGTGAGTGAGGATATCAATGTAATTCTAGAAGGGTAGAATTGTAAAATTTACCAAGGAAATGTTGTTTATATACATAAGTTGAATAAAATTCATTTAGAGATAAAATATGTGGTTCGAAGATAAATCCGATAAAAGCTTTGGTTGTAGATTGTGTGATCAGTTCCTATTTAGGTTGAAGATTAACTATTGTGATAATCTTCCTTTGGTTCTCGGTTAGCAGGTAAAACCAAGATTGAATGAAGATTAGCCGATTGTAAAATCTTCCTCGGTTTGAGATTAACCCGATTAAAATCTCAAAGGTAATAATTTATTCTGTTAAAATCTGAGAGGTTATTTGGCTATCTTGTTAAACCAAAATTATTGAGCTTAGTTACTTTGAAATTGAAAGACTAACCTCTACAAGGTCCGTGTTCGTAGAAATAAGACTAACCGCTTTAAGTTACAGTTGAGAAGAGAGAATGGCCACTTCACTCTCAGTATTGTATTGGAGAAAAGACGCAAATGCCCATATTCATTGTCTTTTAATATTTGGTTGAAGTTCAACCACCATTTCCTTATATAAGGGGGTTCGTGAGTTTTTCCTACTAAAAGCTTTAGAGTATTGTTGGAAACTGTAACACCCCGATTTTCATTTACTAGTTATTTTATTAGTTATTTATTTTATTAGTTGTTATATGATATAGTAATTAATTAAATTGGGTGATCTTGTGAGTATATGGATTATTTGGATTAATTGTGTTATGTGTGTATTGAGTTAGTAAGTGTAAGAATAATATCATTGATTAATTGGGCCTTTGTATGATGGCTTAGTGTGAGTGGCTGAGATAAGCCCATTAGTGAAATTAGAGTTAGTAAGAGTTTTGTAAAACAAAGAGAGAATAAAATTAGAAAGAAAGAAACAGGAGAAAAGGAGAAAGAGGAAAAGTGGAGAAAAGAGAAGAGAAGAAAGGAGAATCCTAGAAGAGGATCTACATCCAATGTAAGAGTGGGTTTTAATTAGATTATGGGAGTATGTGCTGTATGTAATGGGTAGCTACATGATTTAGGGGTTTTATTCTTCAATTTCTAGATTTTGATATGTTTAGGTTTTGAATGAGAAATCATGAAATTGATGTTTCAATCATATTTTGATATTTGTATTTGATACTACATGTTAGATGTATGTTATAATACATTTAATTACATAAATATGTCTGTTTGGAGTGAGTTTTGTGACCCCAATTCGTGGAGGACAAAATGTTGTCCGAAACATATTTTCCTGCATTTCGCAGAGGACACTTAGCACCGTGGGTCGCGCTTAGCGCGATCTAAGATGAAAAGTTTTATATTTTGTTTAATTGAAGGGGGGGGGGGGGGGGGGGGGGGGTGTATGCTTATGATTTATAAAGTATTTTCATAAATTTTAATAATTTATTCGATGTATATTGGATAGGTTTTGGATGACTTTTTGATGAAAATATAACACTTGAATTTTGTGTATATGTATGTTGTGAATTGTTGATGAGTGAGAATAACATGGTGTGGCTTTATTTGCTATGTATTATTGTAGTGTGTTGAGTTGATTAATGCTATGAGAGTGCATTATATGTGATTGATGGCATGAATTATGTATGTTTGTGCAATGGTGAGATAATTCAAATGTGATGAATTAGGTGATGTATGCTTGTATAATTAAGATTGAGAGATGGTCTTAATTGCATATGATTGTTGAGATTGCACATGCATCATTTGTTGTCAAGAGGCAATGTTTGCTGGTTTTTGCGAGAGCTAGTGACTTGTCCAAAATCTAGTGGATTGGTTTGAAAGCTTGAGGGATGGGCTTTTTTGGTGGTTATCTGTATGAGGAATGGACAAGGTTTAAAGGTTAAAACCGTTAAGGATAACAATTGGTACCACATGAATATTGTATTGAGTTGTATTTGAGTCACATGTGTCAATGTAAAATGTTGAATTGGTGTGCAATATATGATATTGGTATGAATGTTATATTTGTGGTATTTGTGATTGATTATCTCTGAATCATGAATCGTTGAGCAGTGTTATATATGTGAATATGTGAATTATGTTGGAATATGTTGAATAGATGATTATGTGAAGTGTGATGAATTCAATTGATGTATGTATGTTATGCATTACTTATTATTTATATTTCTATAATGATGTGAATTCTCACCCTTCTGTTGGAATGATATTTTATACGATATCGCTCAGGTATCGAAGATAGTGGTGCTTCTTGCGAGGATTATTCGAAGGATCTAGTTCTTGTTTTATTCGCTTATTAGGTAGTGAGTCATGCTCTGGTCATGTAACATGGGGAGTGTTCGAACTCATATTGTTCTAAGAGATGTTTGTTATACTCTCTTTTATTTATGTTGTATTTTGATATTATGTGATGAGTGACCTTTAGTGATGTTCCTGTGTAGAACAAATATCCAACCGACTTCCCAGAAGCCAGTTAGGGAAAGCCTATCGGAGCGACTCTATGAGATGATTGGGGAATTTGAGAGCTACAACATTGATGTGTGTGTCCCAAGAAGAATGTATTGATTATCCCTCATGTGGGAGCCTATTTATGTAGTGAGTTTCATGGCTTCATCAAGAGCCTCAGTTAATAAGGGACTCTTGAGCTCCATAACTGTGTAACCACCACCGTCTCCATGAATAAAGATGATTAGTGATCTATAACGTAGCAACGAATGTGCTGCCGGCGGTTATAGGCTTTAATGAGCCAAGATGTTGATCGGTTACATGCATGTGCTACCCGGTTATCCACTTCGTCCGAGTCTAGGGTGAGGGCGAGTTGCTACCCGGGTCCATGGGTTGTTTGATACTCCCTTAGTCGAGTTGCTCCCTGGGTGCCTTCATCCTAAGCCGGCTATTAGTTTGTGCTTTTCCTTTGTCGGTTAGCTACCCGATAGAGTCTGTTATTTTCGGAATGTACATAAGCCCCACGAGTTCAAGTCCTCTCTTTGTGAGAATGTCGTATTCGGTCACATAGTCATGGAAGGTAACCCATGCACTGCCGGGTTACTACCCTTTTCTGACCCAAGTGTCGTGGAACGAAAAGTCCCTTATTTTCTCTTTCACGAGGTAATGATGACTTCCACTAAAACCCTTGTTCATTGGGCAACGCTTCCCATGTGTAGCACAATGTTCCCCGGGCTCTATTAAAGACCATATTTTCTTTTTTCCTTTTCCATATTGGTAACTGCAGAAGACGATTATCTTTGTAAAAGAACATTTTTAATATTCTTCAA